TGGCAGTTTCTATGGAACTAAAACAAAAAATCTTAAAATTTGTATGGAGACACAAAAGACTCCGAATAGCCAAACCAGTCTTGAGGGGAAAAAACAGAGCTGGAGGAATCAGGCTCCCTGACTTCAGACTATACTACAAAGCTACAGTAAACAAGACAATATGGTACTTGCACAAAAACAGAAACAGATCAATGGAACAAGATAGAAAGCCCAAAGATAAACCCACGCACCTATGGTCAACTAATCTATGACAAAGGAGGCAAGGATATACAATGGAGAAAAGACAGTCTCTTCAATAAGTGGTGCTGAGAAAACTGGACAACTACATGTAAAAGAATGAAATTAGAACACTCCCTAACACCATACACAAAAATAAGCTCAAAATAGATTAGAGACCTAAATGTAAGGCCGGACACTATAAAACTCCTTGAGGAAAACATAGGGAGAACACTCTTTGACATAAATCACAGCAAGATCTTTCTTGATCCACCTCCTAGAGTAATGGAAATAAAAACAACAATAAACAAATAGGACCTAATGAAACTTCAAAACTTTTGCACAGCAAAGGAAACCATAAACAAGAGGAAAAGACAACACTCAGAATGGGAGAAAATATTTGCAAACGAATCAACGGACAAAGAATTAATCTCCAAAATATATAAACAGCTCATGCAGCTCAATAACAAAAAAACAAACAACCCAATCCAAAAATGGGCAGAAGTCCTAAATAGACATTCCTCCAAAGAAGATGGACATACAGATGGACAAGAAGCACATGAAAAGCTGCTCCACATCACTAATTATTTGAGAAATGCAAATCAAAACTACAATGAGGTATCACCTCACACCAGTTAGAATGGGCATCATCAGAATATATATAAACAACAAATGCTGGTGAGGGTGTGGAGAAAAGGGAACCCTCTTGCACTGTTGGTGGGAATGTAAATTGATATAGCCACTATGGAGAACAGTACAGAGGTTCCTTAAAAAACTAAAAATAGAATTACCATATGCTCCAGCAAGCCCACTACTGGGCATATACCCAGAGAAAACCATAATTCAAAAAGACACATGCAGGCTTCCCTGGTGGCGCAGTGGTTGAGAGTCCGCCTGCCGATGCAGGGGACACGGGTTCGTGCCCTGGTCCGGGAAGATCCCACATGTCGCGGAGCGGCTAGGCCTGTGAGCCATGGCCGCTGAGCCTGCATGTCCGGAGCCTGTGCTCTGCAACGGAAGAGGCCACAACAGTGAGAGGCCCGCGTACCACAAAAAAATAAAAGACACATGCACCCCTATGTTCATTGCAGCACTATTTACAATAGCCAGGTCATGGAAGCAACCTAAATGCCCATCGACAGATGAATGGATAAAGAAGATATGGTACATATACACAATGGAATATTACTCAGCCCTAAAAAGGAACAAAATTGGGTCATTTGTTGAGACGTGGATGGATCTAGAGACTGTCATACAGAGTGAAGTAAGTCAGAAAGAGAAAAACAATGTATATTCATGCATATATATGGAACCTAGAAAAATGGTACAGATGAACCAGTTTTCAGGGCAGAAATAGAGACACAGATGTAGAGAACAAACGTATGGGCACCAAGGGGGGAAAGCCGTGGGGAGGGTGACAGGGGGCTGCTGAATTGGGTGATTGGGATTGACATGTATACACTGATGTGTATAAAATTGATGACTAATAAGAACCTGCTGTAGAAAAAAAAATAAAATTCAAAAATTAAAAAGAAATTTTTTTAATAAAAAATAAATGAATGTGTAAGCCAAATGAATATGTAAGACATTCCAGTCAGGATGTCCCCAAGTCCAAGTCTTCCAACCTTCATTGGACACTCTTCCCTCTAAAACTGAAAAAAAAAAAAAAATCCATTGGCTCAATTTCCTGCCTTACATACTATGGAAAAACCCAGCACCCTCTCTGAGATTTCAGGGGGTTCCCAGGGGCTCCTCATGGTCACCTCTGGCTTTGATTTCCTGTTCTAGCTGAATTCTCTCACATCTCTCCTCCCACGCTGTCTTCTTCTCTCCACTGTATGTAGGACCAAGTATGGAGCCCCCTCTTCAATCTGCAAAACATCACCAATCCAAGACAGTTGTGTAGATTGCTACCGAAGGTTTTGGATAACAGAGGAATTACCTCATAGCCCAAAAAATAAATAAAAATGGGAATTAGGTATCTCTGCTCTCATGTTTCTCAGCATCCCTGCAACAAGGAACTTCCTACTGGCTGAATTTCCCCCTCAGAAGAGTGACCCCGCCTCTGGCTCCCAGACCTATAACAGTCTCTCCCTAGCCTCCCACATCAACCAATTGCCAACTTCCCAATGTTGTCTTCTACGGGGAAGCCTAACTCTTCTTTGTTGCATCATCTCCTGTCTAGGCTAGGTTTTCACAGCAAAACTTGTGTATTCAGATGTTTTTCCTAACCCAAGAGTTTGCATCTCTCCTTCTAGGCCGTGCTCTGTATAAGAGCATATACTATCTTCTATGACCTAGGTGTCCTAATAGATGCCAGGATATAAAGATGAAAAAAATATGGTTTCTAGGGAATTCCCTGACGGTCCAGTGGTTAGGATGCTGCACTTTCACTGCCGAGGGCCCAGATTCAGTCCCTGGTCGGGGAACTAAGATACCACAAGCCGTGTGGCTCAGCCAAAAATATATATATATATGGTTTCTATGTTAAAGAAGTTTGGTTGGGCTTCCCTGGTGGCGCAGTGGTTGAGAGTCCGCCTGCTGATGCAGGGGACACGGGTTCGTGCCCCGGTCCGGGAAGATCCCACATGCCGCGGAGCGGCTGGGCCCGTGAGCCATGGCCGCTGAGCCTGCATGTCCGGAGCCTGTGCTCCACAACGGGAGAGGCCACAACAGTGAGAGGCCCGCGTACGGAAAAAAAAAAAAAAAAAAAAAGAAGATCAGTTGTTTGTTCTTAATCTCAACATTTAGTTCCCATGATCCAGCTGTCTGCCTACATTAAAATGAAGTACATTTCCATCCTCTGCTTCAACATATTGTGCTGTTAATAGCAGTCAGAAATCTTTCAATTCCAAGTGATATAAATCTACCTCAAAAACCACCATAAGCAAATAAAGTAGAATTTATCAGCTATGTGACCAGGAGATCCAGAGGTGGAGTCAGGGGCATGATGGGGTAAGTACAGGCTCAGGTGAGGTCCTCAGCTACTCTCTTCATCTTCTTTTTGCTTCTTTTACTCTTTCTTTACTTCTGCAGACAGGCTGTCTCCTTTGGTAGGGAAAATGGATCTGTGGACTCCTCACCCTGTGCAGATGGGCACTGCCACGGAGACTAGCGTGGTGCCTTCTGAAGCATCCTGAGCAGGAGACCACTTGTCTGGGACTAAGGACAGTACTAACCACCCATTCAAGCTGAGTTGGAAGACTTGGCTCAAATCCTGCTGATTCTGCCTTTTAAATATCACTTAAAAGTCAAACTGGGACTTCCCTGGTGGTCCAGTGGCTAAGACTCCACACTCCCAGTGCAGGGGGCCCAAGTTCGATCCCTGGTCAGGGAACTAGGTCTCACACGCCGCAACTAAGAGTTCACATGTTGCAACTAAAGATAGATCCGACGAGCTGCAACTAAGAGCCGAAGCAGCCGAACAAAGAAAAAAAATTTTTTTTTTTTAAAAGTCTTAAACCTTGGGGGCTTCCCTGGTGGCGCAGTGGTTGAGAGTCCGCCTGCCGATGCAGGGGACACGGGTTCGTGCCCCGGTCTGGGAAGATCCCACATGCTGCGGAGCGGCTGGGCCCGTGAGCCATGGCCACTGAGCCTGCGCGTCCGGAGCCTGTGCTCCGCAACGGGAGAGGCCACGACAGTCAGAGGCCCGCATACCGCAAAAAAAAAAAAAAAAAAGTCTTAAACCTTGCCTGTCTCCATTCCCTACTATCACCGCCCTTTTTTTCCTTCACAGGTATAGATTCCAAAGACCGTCTTGTACTTCAAACTCCCTTTCAGTGTCTACAACCAGAGAAGCCAACATGAAACACCAGCCCCTGTTTTAAAATATATGTTTTATTACTATTTAGGTATGGCAAGGCCAATAGATGAGGAGACAACTGTCATTGAAGAGATAGTTATACTCTAGGTTAAGTATAACTTAATGGTGGGATGAATTGGGAGATTGGGATTGACATATATACACTAATATGTATAAAGTAGATAACTAATAAGAACCTGCTGTATGAAAAAATAAAGTAAAATTCAAGAAAAAAAAGATTTTTGATGGAGATACATTAACTAACTGGATCTTTCCAAAATAAGGATATTAAAAATATAAATTACTGAACACAGGCTTTCTTTCATGGAGAAAGTAAAACTATATGTAAGAATCTTACAGTTTTCTACCAAAAAAAAAAAAAAAACTTCGCAACTAGTATTTCACAGATGTACAGAATGCTAACGTGAAAGTTCACAACCATAAAATGGAGCAGGACCCTGCAGCGCCTTCTTGGTGGAAAAGCTTCTCCGTCTCCCGAGTTCCGTGCCCGGAGTTCCTTGTTCGGCAACCACGTCCTTCTCGTTCAGGCTGTGAGTAACCAGTAAAGCTGCGTGCCGATTTCAGCTCTCCCCCATGGCAGAATGCTGTAACATTTTCATAGGGCTCCATCTGAAGTCTCTCCTTCAGGAAAAAAAGACAGAAAAGATAGAAGAGTTTACCGGCTGTGAAACTCACAAAACGAGAAGCGGGCAAAGGAACTTAAGTTCTACAGAATGAGAGTCACTGAACACATACCTAGAAAAAGACGAAAACATTCCCGCCTTACGGTCCGTCGAAAGCTGCCACGCTTCTACTCAATGAACAAGTAGTTTTAGGGCAACTACTCCTACCAGCCTTTCTCTTTACTCCACTGTTTACAGAAAAACAGGACAAACCATTGTCAAGAGCCCCGTGGGAAAAAAGGCGATTAGTAGACAACACCACAAGTGTTAATCTTCATACAACTGAATCAACCCTCATATGGAAATGCACTGTCTGCAACAACAGTGCAAGAAAAACCCGGTGCGCAGAACAAACGAAAACGACTCTCCGTTCTGACTCTCGGTTTTAAAAACTCATTTAAGGTGTTATTTTCCGACACAAAACTTACCACAGGCTAAATTGATACAAACAACTACTACATTTGATTTTAACGAAAACGCCGAGAGGGGACACCAGCTCATCGCCTCCGGCCGTTGCGGTCCTTCCTTCATCCCTATACAGGTATGGTGAGCACCCTAATCCTCACTCCTTGTCTGATTCCCTTTGCGTCGTCAACAGTGCTACCATGGACTCCTGTGCAGACTTTCTGTTCGCTCCGTCATTCCCGCGCCGAACAGCCATTTCCAATCTGCATGCTCCGCCTTCTGTCCCCCGAGGAGGCGCGGCTACCGCGAGCGGACTCCACCCTCCGGATCGCCTCCTCGCGCCCGGAGCCCAGGCCCGACCGGGAGCCAGCCTCCTGGCCTCCTGGCCGGTGCACTTCATGCCGCAGACCAGGGACAGGGGCGGCAGCCGGAGAATGCGAAGGGAGCGGTGATACGGTAGCAGCTCTCACGGTTCGAGTCCCAGAAATCAAGAACTTGCTTTTGTCCACCACTCTTCCCCCCGCACGCACTGCACATTCAACAACCGTTCAATGAGTAGGAGTGCCTCCTACACGCTTAGCCAGTTCCCGGCACAAGCCATGATTACGGCGGCTCTTCAGCCACCACCACACCCCCTAGCCCCTCATTGCTCGGGGCCGCTCAGCTCGCGTCGGTGTTCTCCCGCCCATCTTCTGCCCAACAGTTCGGCTCCCCTGGGGTGGGGGGTGGGGTCGTCCTGAGAAGGGAAGTCCTGGGTGACAGTCGTTGGAACGCAACACTGCCCGTCGCAAATCAATACTTTAGCATCTCCGTTTACTCAGCGTGATTCACTCCCGCGGAATTTGCTCAAATCGACGTGCACGGACTGAAGGGCCTGCGAATGGCGCCTGGCTCCCGTGCACGGCGCTCTGCGGAGGCCGGTCGGGTGCCCTTGTGCCCTCACGGTGGTGCAGGGCCGTCGCGGTGCCAGCCACCCTGACTGCAACGGAGCCTTGAAGCTCGGGAGATCAGGGACGGTAACCGGAAGAGCAGGGCAGGCGTTCTCTGGCAGCGCCTCTTTCCCCAGCCTCGCCAACAACCCCACGTGGCATCAAATTTGGGAATGCTTTTTTGGTGCAGGGTGGGGAAAGGGGGAGGGGTCGATCTCATAGGTGAAAATGGTACCTCAGCGTAGTTTGGATTTGCAGTTTTCTAATCTTGGGTAAATAAGGTTGAGTGACCTCTCCTGTTTCAGAGTCGCCTTTATTTCCTCTCTGTGAAGTAAGTCCTTGTTGGGGGTCTTCGGCCCTTTTCTTCCAGGGTTCTCGGTTGGGCTTTATCCTAAGGGCCTGGATCTGCAATTTACACATTCAGGGGACTGGCCCTTTGGAATGGAAGCGGTGAACATTTTCTCCTGTTGGATATCTGGCTTTGGCTTTGCTTGAGGTGGTGATTCCATTGCCTAAAGGTTTCATGGAAAGTTCTTTTTATATCATCATACTTGTCAATTAAAAAAATATATCTTTCAGATTTTGAGTGAAAAGGACTTATAAAATAATTTCTTAAATTAAAAAAAAAAGAAGTGCTAGGGATGTAATGCACATGATAAATATAATTAACACTGCTGTATGTTATGAAAGTTGTTAAGAGGGTAAATCCTAAGAGTTCTCAGTACAAGAAAAAAAATATTTTTATTCTTTTTTTCTATTTAATTTTGTACCTGTATTAGATGACAGATGCTCACTAAAATCATTGTGATAATCATTTCAGGATGTATGTGAATCAAATCATTGTGCTGTACACCTTAAACTTATACAGAGCTGTATGTCAACTATATCTCAAAAACACTGGAAGAAAAAAAGAGATAGTTATACTCACAGTTCCCAAGGGGGGGGGGGATGCCATACCACAAGGGTGGGGGGCCCACACAGGGAAGAACCAGGGTCAGTCAGGAGGCAGAGGGAGTGAGGGGAAAACTTATACAAGAGCCTTTATTGTGGTTTCCACAAGAAGGAAGAGGCAAGGCAGCATAAGCAGGTTTAGGATTGGCTAGTTTGAATAATTTCAGCGGGCTCTGGGGCACAGGGGCTGTCCCTAGTTGCCTGGTACCTGACCCTGCGTGATTAGGGCAGGTGGATAGTGGCCCAGAGTGAAAGAGCATAATAAACAGGTGGCTGAGGGTATGGGCTCTGGTTTGGTTCATTTGCACAAGGCAGGAATGCTTACAAACAAGTTGCTACCCCTAGGAATTAGCTAACCCTAAAAGGGGTAGTCCCTCCAGGGCAAGTAAGGCCCCAAGAAGTCAAAGTATCTGAAAATTAAAGGAATGGGCTCTTCTGCAGCCATTTTAAATCTAGCTCCTTAAAATGCTCCACCATCCTTGCTGCCTGGGCTCTGACTGAGCACCAGGACCCCCACTGTGGGGAACATGAATAATATGACAACACAGGGGCTTCCCTGGTGGCGCAGTGGTTAAGAATCCGCCTGCCAATGCAAGGGACACGGGTTCGACCCCTGGTCTGGGAACATCCCACATGCTGCAGAGCAACTAAGCCCGTGCACCACAACTACTGAGCCTGCGCTCTAGGGCCCACATGCCACAACTACTGAAGCCCGCGTAGCTAGAGCCCGTGCTCCGCAACAAGGGAAACCACCACAATGAGAAGCCCACGCAGCTCAACAAAGACTAGCCCTCCTCTCCACAACTAGAGAAAGCCTGTGCACAGCAATGAAGACCCAACGCAACCAAAAATAAGTAAATAAATAGAAAAATATTTTTTAAAAAAATAGTTCTGACCCAATTCTAGTGGGGGAGGCGGGATTTTTCCCACACTGCCAAGCAATTCTTCGACACTAGCTGGTGTCCTACAATTCAACACAATTCTGATGCTATCTACCAGGAGGTTAATGACTCAGTCTCACCAGACTGCCCCCTCCGCCCCCCTTCAGACACCAGTTGCAAGTCCAGATTGTCACCTGTGCTTCTGACCTACTGGCTATAGATGAGAGGTTCCAATGACCCAGTCCTTGGAGTCAATTAATTTGCTAGAGCAGCTCACAGAACTCAGAGAAACATTTTACTTACTAGATTACCTGTTTATTATGAAAGGATATAACTCAGGAACAGCCAGATAGAAGAAATATATAGGGCAAGTACGGGGAAAGGGCACGGAGTTTCTATGCCTTCTCTGAGCACACCACTCTCCTCGAATCTCCACTTGTTCACCAACCCAGAATCTCTGAACCCTCTCCTATTGGGTTTTTATGGAGGCTTCATCACATAGCCTTGATTGACTAAATCGTTGGCCATTGGTTGATTCACCCTCCAACTCCTCTCCCCTCCCTAAGGGTAAAGGGAGGTGGGACTGAAAGTTCCAACCCTCTAATCACAGAGTTGGTTCTCCAGCCAACCAGCCCCTAACCCTAGGTGGGGTCCAAATTTCACCTCATTCACATAACAAAAGACATCTTTATTGTCCTCATCATTCAGGAAATTCCAAGGGTTTTAGAACTCTGTGCCAGAAATGGAGGTGAAGACCAAATATATATATATATTTTTTTATTACAAGTCACAATATCACAGACATATACGCTGCTCTCATCAGCAAATAATTCTTCAAATCTTTTTTTTCCCCAACTCACTCTTCAGATTAAAAACTTCTTGACAGCTCCCCTTTGCCTATAGTTTTTTGGTTTTTGCAGTTAAGTCTAAGCTGAAGCCACGAGGACCTTCAATTACCTTGCTGAAACTCCCTCTTTTCTCCATGACCCTACAACAGGTCCCAGGGGGCATCCAAGGTCAATCCAGGTATACCAGCCACTAAGGGTGGGAGGTCCCAGAGTCAAGCTATATTAGGCAAGTTTACCCAGAGAAGTCAGAAACAACAGCACAAAAGCAGGTTCAGTCGATGAGGCAGGCAGCCGGAAGTCAGAGCTGCAGCAGCATCAGTATTGGGTTTAGGGGTGAGGTAAGGACATAAGCCATATGTTTTAATCAGGATGGGCTCCGTTATATTTCCCTAACAAACAGCTTCCAAACTCAGTGGCTTAGCACAACAGAGGTATATTGCTTGCTAATGCAGTCACCTGCAGGTCTGGGTGACTGCAAAATATTTGTCATCCATGGAGCAGCTCACAGTAATTTCAACACGAGACCTTCTTGGTTGCAGAACCGATGATACATCTGGAGCAACTTTTAAATATATGTATATATATACACTATATATTAATTTAAGTCTTTGTCTTTATTTGCATCTTGGGTGGGTTTTTGGGGGGGGTGTTTGTTTCTTTTGGCCACGCCACATGGCTTGCAGAATCTTAGTTCCCCGGCCAGGGATCAAATCCAGGCCCTCGGCAGTTTTAACCACTGGACTGCCAGAGAATTCACAGTATATTTTTAATTATGTTTGGAACAACTATTTCACTATAAATTTTATGAAATCTAAACGCAACATCAACAATTCTGATGAATATATAGTATACAAATTGAGCTGAGCTGTATGTAAGTGTTAAATACACACTGGATTTTGAAGACTAAGCAAGAAAAGAAATTTTTTACATTGACTACATATTGAAATAATAATATTTTGGCCACACACACACACACACATATATTAAAGTTAATTTCACTTTTTTTTTTTTTTTTACTTTTTATATAGGGTTAAAAGAAAATTTTAAATTACATATGCAGCTTGCATTATGCTTCTATTGGACAGTGCTGCTGTAAGGTACAAACCTTTCATTTACTAGTTGCAATTAATTAGGGCCTAAATTCTGAAGTTACACATTAACTTGTCAATTTTTGCCTTGTAAAAACACAAATGGGGGCTCCCCTGGTGGCGCAGTGGTTGGGAGGCTGCCTGCCGATGCAGGGGACACAGGTTCGTGCCCCGGTCCGGGAAGATCCCACATGCCGCGGAGCGGCTGGGCCCGTGAGCCATGGCCGCGGAGCCTGTGCTCCGCAACGGGAGAGGCCACAACAGTGAGAGGCCCAAGTACCACAAAAAAAAAATAATGAAAACACAAATGATTGAAGACTACACCAAAGTTTTACTGCCCAACTTATTTCTAAGTTAGTTGATTTATTCCAGAAGGCCCTTCCTGACTA